GGCCTCCCAAAGTGCTGGGATTACAGGCTTGAGCCACCGCGCCCGGCACTGTTTATATTTTTAATAGAGACAGGGTTGCACCATGTTGGCCAGGTTGGTCTTGAACTCCTGATCTTAAGTGATCCACCCGCCTTGGTCTCCCAAAGTGCTAGGATTACAGGCGTAAGCCACTGTGCCCGGCCAAATAAACACATTTTTAAAGAACCTTTACACCACCTTTTATAAATATAAGGCTAGTATTATTTCCTATAAGTAAAAAGTATCCATACAAAATTAACAATGAACACAAAAGCATTACAATGTTGCTATTACACCACATGTGCTGGAGATTCTGGGCTAGTTGCCTTTTCTCCCTTTGTTACAAAAAAAAAAGGAGAGATTAGTAAGTGTTAAAGGCACATTAGCATCAAACAGAATCTTCTATCTGGCATCGTTTAAAATGTCTGTGTGTTTTTTGGCTCCAAGTCCTCACAGTACTTGAAGCACATGTGAACGCTACATCTAGAGAAACAGCGTGCTCAAATAATCACACACATTCATCTCACTTAATCCTTCACCAACTCTAAGGAAATAGGCATGTGAGTGTAGATGAGAAACAAAGGTTCAGAGAGGCGAAGTCCCTTGCCCATAGTCACACAGCTTTTAAGTGTCATAGCTTAAAATCAGACCCAGACATGTTGGGCCCCCTTCGGACTTTCTACCGGCCTCCGGGCTGCCGTGCCACAGGACAGAGAGGCAAGTATGAAATGGAGGCTTCTACTAACCGTTTTTCTCCCGTCTGCCTCACGCTCCTTCTTGTGTCCAGCTGGGTCGCCTTTGAGCAGTCCAACTTCCGCGGGGAGATGTTCATCCTGGAGAAAGGCGAGTACCCTCGCTGGGACACGTGGTCAAGCAGCTACCGCAGTGACCGGCTCATGTCCTTCCGACCCATCAAGATGGTGAGTGGCTCTGTGGCTGGGGCTGACAAATCAGCCAGGCGGGGCCAAGCAGGGGTCAGTCTGAGATCTGACATGGGCAAGAAGGAGAGGATGGTGGGCAGGCAGGCGTGGCAGCCTCTGAGCTGTCGAAGGACAGTGGGTTCTTGAGCTCATCAATTCATCAGTGTCCTTCACACACTCACTAGTGATCATAGTTCACTGCAGCCTTGAACTCCTGGCCTCAAACTCCCACCTGGGCCTCCCAAAGTGCTAGGATTACAGGCATGAGCCACCATGCCAAGACTGGGGAAGCTTTTAAAATTTCAGTGCCCAGGTCTGGCGCCATGGCTCACACCTGTAATCCCAGCACTTTGGGAGGCCAATGCGGGCGGATCACGAGGTCAAGAGATCAAGACCATCCTGGCCAACATGGTGAAACCCCGTCTCTACTAAAAATACAAAAATTAGCTGGGTGTGGTAGTGCACAGCTGTAGTCCCAGCTACTCGGGAGGCTGAGACAGGAGAATTGCTTGAACCCGGGAGACGGAGGTTGCAGTGAGCTGAGATTGAGCCACTGCACTCCAGTCTGGTGCTTGGGGAAAAAAAAAATTCAGTGCCCATCCAAAACACCAAATAGGCTGGTTACAGATCATGCAATGGCTAAGAAGAGGGATATTGTAGAAACGCAGCTCGAACCTGTTAATAATAAGACAATATACTGAATTAGTTTCTTATAATGTTTAACTAAGTCAACTTCCAGAAGATTCAAGGTCAAAATGGTGGCAATATCTCCAAGTGATTCACAGTTTTTTCCAGAATTGAGTTGATGCTGAGTCATGAACCAGCTACATCTTGCTCACCAATGTTAGTTGCTGATGGTAACTGACTTTTGTCTCCCGTGATGGGAATGTTTATAAGAATTTTCATGAGTGTGCATTTGAGGCTATCAGGTGCCAACCACCAGCTGTTTTGACATCACCAAATTTATCTTAATGGATTATTCAAACAGATCATTCCCAAAGCTTTTCTCAGAATGTAAGACTGAATTGTCTGCCTTCATGATGTACTCTCTGTAAGAATTCACAGATGTACCAGGCACGGTGGCTCACCTCTGTAATCTCAGTACTTTGGGAGGCCGAGGCAGGTGGATCACCTGAGGTCAGGAGTTCAAGACTAGCCTGGTCAACATGGTGAAACTCTGTCTCCACTAAATATACAAAAATTAGCCAGGCATGGTGGTGGGTGCCTGTAACCTCAGCTACTCGGGAGGCTGAGGCAGTGGAATCACTTGAACCCAGGATAGGGAGGTTGCAGTGAGCCGAGATTGCACCATTGTGCTTCAGCCTAGGAGACAGAGCGAAACTCTGTCTCAAAACAAAGAAAAAAATTGAATTCACAGATGTGTTTCTCAATCGTTGAATCGTTCTTATATGCCAACCTATGTCAAGGGATTTGTTTGGAAGGGTGATCACCCAGGGCATTTCCATTAGCTTCTAGAAACTTGCTATTCAATATAATAAACACTAGCCATATGTGGCCATTGGACACTTGGATCTTGGCTAGACTAAATGGAGATGTGTCATGGTGTAAAATGTATGCTAAGTTTTGAATACATAGTAAGAAAACAATATTTGTTTTAGTTCAGTTTCGTTTATTTCTCACTCTGTCGCCCAGGCTGGAGCACAGTGGTGCGATCTCAGCTCACTGCAATCTCTGCCTCCCAGGTTCAAGTGATTCTCCTGCCTCAGCCTCCCAAGCAGCTGGGATTACGGGCGCCTGCCACCACACCCAGCTAATTTTTGTATTTTTAGTAGAGACAGGATTTCACCATGTTGGTCAGGCTGGTCTCGAACTCCTGACCTCATGAGCTGTCCGCCTAGGCCTCCCAAAGTGCTGGGACTACAGGCATGGGCCACTGCACCCAGCCCAGGTATATTTGTTTAAATAAAATATATTACATTAGAAATTTTTAGAAATCTCAATGCCTCGACTCCACCCCAGACCAATTAATTCTGAATCTCTGGCGCTGGGACTCAGGCACTGATATCTTTTCTATGCTTTCTAAGTAGTCCGTCTGTGCAGCCAGGGCTGCGATCCAATGGTCTAAATCAGGGATGCCCAATCTTTTGGCTTCCCTGGGCCACAGTGGAAGAAGTGGTGTCTTGGGCTATACGTAAAATACACTAACACTGATGTTGACTGGTGAGCTTTAAAACAATTGCAAAAAAAAAATCTCATAATTTTTTTTTGTTTGTGTTGAGATGGAGTCTCACCCTGTTGCCCAGGCTGGAGGGCAGTGGTGCGATCTTGGCTCACTGTGACCTCCACCTACCAGCTTCAAGTGCTGCTCCTGCCTCAGTCTCCCGAGTAGCTGGGACTACAGGTGCATGCCAGCATGCCCAGCTAATTTTTGCATTTTTAGTAAAGACAGGATTTCACTGTGTTGGCCAGGCTGGAATTGAAATCCTCACCTCGTGATCCACCTGCTTTGGCCTCCCAAACTGCTGGGATTACAGGTGTGAGCCACCACCCACGTTTTAAGAAGGTTTACAAGTTTGTGTTGAGCCGCATTCAAAGCCACCCTGGGCCGCACGTGGCCTGCAGGCAGCAGGTTAAATAAGCCTGGTCTCACCCTTGCTCTCTCTGCCCTGCCATGGTCCTGGTCCAGGCCAGCATCATCTCTGACCTGATCAGCTTCAACTCTCTCCCTGCTGGGCTCCCTGACTCCCTCCCGGCACCCTGTCCTGGAAGTTACAGATATCTTTTCAAAATAAAAGCATAAGCCTGACCATCATCTACTTCAACCCAGGTATGTTGGTTGGCCTGTTTCTATTTTCGTTTTTTTTAGACAGAGTGTCACTCTGTCGCCCAGGCTGGAGTGCAGTGGCGCGATCCAGCTCATTGCAATCTTCGACTCCCTGGGTCAAGCAATTCTCCTGCCTCAGCCTCTCAAGTAGCTGGGATTACAGGAGTACACCACCATGCCCAGATACTTTTTGGATTTTCTTAGAGACAGGGTTTCACCATGTTGGCCAGACTGGTCTCGAACTCCTGATCTCAAGTGATCTGCCTGCCTGGGCCTCCCAAAGTGCTGGGATTACAGGCGTGAGCCACTGTGCCTGACCAATTGGCCTTTTTCTGCCAGGCTCTGATCTAGGCTCTGAGTGCAAAACTATGTATCAAACAGACTAGGTCCTGTCTTCATGAGACTTAAGCTACCCAGGGAGGCAGCTATTGAAAACATAATCATGGGGCCAGGTGAAGTGGCTCACGCCTGTAATCCCAGCACTTTGGGAGCCGAGGCAGGTGGATCACAAGGTCAAGAGATGGAGACTATCCTGGCCAACACGGTGAAACTCCGTCTCTCCTAAAAATACAAACATTAGCTGGGCATGGTGGCGTGCGCCTGTAATTCCAGCTACTCAGGAAGCTGAAGGAGAATCACTTGAACCCAGGAGGTGGAGGTTGCAGTGAGCCGAGATCATGCCACTACACTCCAGCTTGGTGACACAGAGAGACTCCATCTCAAAAAAAAAAGAAAGAAAGAAAGAAAGAAAACCTCATCATGGGAATCCATCTCCAGTGGATTCAGCGACCATGGTAGGCGTTACACAAAGGCTATGCAATCTGACTAGGAAAGCAGAAACGGGAATCGGGGACTCAGGTATTGTTAGAGGTAGAGTGGGCAGGGGTGGTCAGGGAAGCCAGCTCCCAAAGTTTGGAAACCAAGTCAGCCATGGGAAGAACAGATGGAAAAGCCTTCCAGGGAACTGTGCGTTCAAAATTCCTGGAGCAAGGACGGACTGGTGGGGCCGAGAGAATTAAAGGTGGCCAGCGAAGCTGCAGCAGAGGGAGCGGAGGAGAGAGGGAGGCAGATGGGAGGGGAGGTGCTGGCAGCGGCCAGTCTTGCAGGCTCTCATAGGTAAGTTTAGTCTTGACCTCACTAGCAATGGGGAGCCGTTGACTAACAACCCTCCCAAGGACCTCAAGACTTAGGCAGTCATATGTAATCGTTGTTACCACTAATTAAGTACATTTGCCACTGGCAAGTAATTGCAGTAAGGGTATTTGTCTTACCATGGCCCAAAGGGTCCGCTGTGCTGCCATCCCTGCCTGGCACCGTGCACTGGCCCTTCTTTACCCTGTCGACACAGAGATTTTCTTTGCACATCCCCACCTCCCAGCCTTTGCCTATGTCTTCTCTGCCTCCGTGCCTTCCCTCAACCTTCCTTCCCCCTCAGCTTTGCACACTCCTCCTTAACCTCCAAGGCCCCTCTCAAGTGTCACTTTTTCCATGAAGCCTTCCCTGATCTGCTCTCCTTTATTCTGGAAGAATTAACAAGATGGTTCTTCATCTATAACCCTAGGCCCCTCTTCCTCCTAGCAATGGTGAATAATAGTAGATAATCACAGCACCCATTTTTAAGCACCAACTATGTGCTGGTATATAACCTGCCTTTTACGTAATCCCTACAACTGTCCTATGCGACAGGCTAAGATAACATGCATTTTATTTCATTTATGTATTTATTTATTTTGAGACAGAGTTTCACTCTCGTCACCCAGGCTGGAGTGAAATGATGCGATCTCGGCTCACTGCAACCTCCGCCTCCCGGGTTCAAGTGATTCTCCTGCCTCAGCCTCCTGAGTAGCTGGGATTACAGGCTCACGCCACCACCCCCTGCTAATTTTTGTATTTTTAGTAGAGACAGTTTCACCATGTCGACCAGCATGGTCTCGATCTCTTGACCTCATGATCCACCCACCTCAGCCTCCCAAAGTGCTGGGATTATAGGCATAAGCCACCACACCTGGCTGATAGCATGCATTTTAAAAGCAAGGAAACTGAGACTCAGAATTAGAAAATGACTGGCCTAAGGTCACACAGCTGGGAGTTTCTGGGGCTGGGATTTGAAACCAGGTCTGTGGTTTTGAACCTAGAGGCTGAGGTTAGCGTTTCTCTGCTGTGATTTCCGGTTCACCTCTTTGGCTCTTCAAACCCTTGGGCCTAACACAGGGCATGTTGACTTTTGAAAAGATGGATGATCCCTACCCTCAGAAATAACAGACAAGCTTTAAAAACAAGACACAGGAGGGTCGGGCGTGGTGGCTCACACCTGTAATCCCAGCACTTTGGGAGGCCGAGGTGGGTGGATCATGAGGTCAAGAGTTCAAGACCATCCTGGTCAACATGGTGAAAACCCGTCTCTACTAAAAAAACTTCAAAAAATTAGCTGGGCATGGTGGCGCGTGCCTGTAATCCCAGCGACTCAGGAGGCTGAGGCAGGAGAATTGCCTGAACCCAGGAGGCGGAGGTTGCGGTGAGCCGAGATCGCACCATTGCACTCCAGCCTGGGCAACAAGAGCGAAACTCCGTCTC